GCGCATAGTGAGGAAAAATGATGAACTGAAAATACCTAGAAAATCTTCAATATATTCGTGTACATGGTAGAAGTTCCAGAAGTATTGTGTATGAACAATTCGTTACGTTATGATGAAGACAACTAACTTATTCAAGACTCATCGGACCGACTTCCACCCAAAGGAAACATAATCATATTGGCTCGCAAGAATTCGAGATCCGGTAATTGATCGTGGAGGGCACGAGCGTCCAGTGACAATTCTGACGGTTGCCGATTGTTTCGTTTAGAAGTATTTGTGGCCGATGCCATCAGCATATCCAACATTGTTCTGTAATGACTCGATTTGGAGTAAAAAGAAGTTGGACCTGAGAACTCTTCGTATAACTCACGGTTGACTAGCAGGCTTTCGTAAAGTAGGAGGTTCTGTGGCTGACAGACCAAGCTGATCTAATTCCTTTTGCAGTGTGGAAATTGTTGAGGAGCTGCCGCCTCCACTGTTTGCCGAAAGAAAATCCACATCGAGTAGTGCAGAAGAGCGATCTAAATCACAGGAGTATCTTAAAATGAATACACTAAAACTAAGGTGTAATTATGACAAATTACCATCCCCAAAATACTTTCAACTCCAACGGCCTTTAATCTCTATTTTTAATGTGCCAATTGTCTTATAATACTACGGGCCCAACCGAAGCTATTTCAAGACACTCCTGTAACTCCTAATTAAAGCCAAACAGGCATGGATGGACTGCTAGCAGCCTTTGCGGAATTTCAATGTGTTCCGGTCTAGATTGCCACGAATACATATCAAACTAGCCAACGTCACAATATTGTGCTGCAAACGATCAGCATAGAGAGCTCTTTCGGTCTTTTTCAAACTTATTTCTTTCGGTTAAGGGCGAGTTCTAGGTAACCTAAGAAGCGGCCAATATAGAGGAAGTCCGATGATAGTGTTTTGGGATTGGTATCAGAAAATTAGTTCATTGTTCTGCGCAATCAGCTGAGCAAGAGTGAACTGTCTAGTCCGGCTGCCCGTTGTCGCACTTCAAAACAGAGCTCAAAGTGCTCGAATATTAATCCGGGTAGATTTTTAAAAATTGGCCAAAACTATAGGAACAATTTCAAGTTCACCACGTTCACAATAACTAAATCAGAAAATACATTCAAACAAAAACTTTTAAAGCAAATCTGGTGAAATAGGATCAATCTTCACCAAAACTAGGAAGCACGAGTTTTTCACAAGAATTTCTGCTCTAGAAATGTTCAATTGTAAATACTTGCTCCTTAGCAGTTCCGCCCAAATATCAAATGGACTGGTCCTCTAGTCAAATCACTACAGCATTCTTAACAGGCATAATAAGATCGGAAGCTTGTGGTGTCAAAACTGAGAAGTACAAATAAACGTATTCTCCTTAAAAGGAAAGAGAAGTTCCCTCAAATGTTCCAGCACATTCACTTCCTCTGTATGGTCAATCCAGGATATGTTCCTCGCAAATCTTACAGACGTCATCGACAGCCAAAGACTGGCATGCACACATCAGGAATTAAAGGACAAATGCATTAGAAATCTGATAAACAGCCAACTGTAGCCCCTTTATCACTGACATGCTACTTGTGAAAGAAATATGAGAATGTCGAACAACTAGGTGGCAGACCTTTGCTTATTTTCCCTGGGGCTGAATTCCTTAGAACCAACTGACAAAGTTATAAAAATATGAAAAATATGTTTGGTGTTTTCGTCCCTCAACAACAGAACTTGACCGCTACTACGAAGATCAAATTGCAAGAAAAAGGAGAAGTAAACATGTTTTGAAGTTTCAACAAACTAACAGCGTAAAGAAATTATTGGAGCAAAACAAAAGTTTGAAGATAAATCAAGTACGAAAAAATAAAATAAAAATTCACAACGCTCCTCTACCTGGGTAGTACCATTCATTTCGCTGAAGAAGTTTCAAGCTCAGGGGTTCGCTTTAGATATTCTTCTTTCTCGAATATTGTTATAGAAAAATATAGGTTGTTGGAGGTGCAAGCTTCAATTATTGAAAAAAAAACTGGGCGGAACTGAAGTAATGCGGTCTCGACACTGATGGTAGTCTCTCTTTAGCACGATATGTCAATCTTGCAGCCGCTCTTAGCAATCCAGCTAAATGTTTTATCATATTCACTCAAATCGGAGCCCATAAAGTGGCATTTCGAATAAATTTGAAAACTTGCAGACAGAAGCAGTAGTTTGTGAATGACAATGTTCAATTTCGAATGAATGTTCTAGAAAAATGCGCATACGAATATTAATTTCCGCAATAATTCCAAATGTTGGAGTAACTCAGCACTATGCTGACATTCCACGAAATATAAAAAAGAACGTACTGGCAGCTTTCGTAGGATTCTTCAAATCCGATGCATCCCAATCAAAGTCTGCTTGTGGAATGGACGGCGACTCAGCATTGGCCGCCGTGCAGTTCATGGTAGGCAAAGCGTTGGAAGAAACGTCAGAAGCTACAATTTTTGCACCGTACGCACCTTCTTCACGTGAGATTATAACGGATCGGCGCCTGCAATTAAATAAAGAAAGTTTAAATATTCGCGAATAGCTGCTTCTTAAAAAATTTCATTTCGTAAAATACCGTGAAAAAAACTGGTTTTAAAGAAATTTTCCGCAATTTCCGCAGAAATTTTCTCGATGAATTGTTCCGACTTTCGTGGTAACTGAAGCTGCTTGTGATCAAGAAAATGTAAGAAAGTTTGTTTGTGTGGTTCAAGCAGGCACCACAAACCATCTCATGACACATGATATCATAAAATGCAGCAGCACAACAACCACGGTTCCTATGGCAACGAAAGAAAACAACCAGCTGCGACTCATTAAACTGGGTATTAAAATAATCACAAAAACTACGAATATGGCTGTTATAAGAAGGTTAGTAAATGATGACATGTAAAAGTAAGCAAAAAGTAAAACGAACGTGGTCCCATTAGCAGTAAACGGTATAGGCTCCAGTACAGTTGTCGTTGAAAGGGGTGGCAATGATCCTCGTCCGACGGCATTCTTAATAATAATAATAAGAGGATGCATTTAAATAAGCGTTACAAAAGAACATTTGTAGCAACACCGACCGGATCAACGCGCAGCGTTTTAAAGAGATTTGATCCATGTTCTGACCCCTTCCACTCGAATTTGAGCGCAAGCGCATCTTCTACAATTCGCAGAGCAAGCCACAAATCAAAGCTTCTGAAATGAAAAAGTTAAGGAGGTAGAAAACTAGGCAGGGTAGCCGTGACTTCAAAACAGTCAAAAGGAGGCTGATGAGAACTTTGAAGAATATGGTGAAGTGAACATCGTATGAGGTACTGAAGAGGTTCAGCACTTCCGCAGGCAAATTAAAAATGCAGTATGGCAGCCGCTACTATGCGCACAGTTCCGGGCTCATTGTTCGAGCGAATCTCGCCCACGACAAGCCATCCCACCCCGACTCGCCTAATACGATAGATGCGCAAACTTGCACGACCTCTACCTGCCAAGGAACACTAAGTAAATCGAAGACGCACTCAAGCGGCACTGAATTCGAAGTAAAATTGGGATGCGCGGCGCAGCCTACAAAGACAAAGGCTCTTCCTCTACGATGAGAGATCTTTACAGTTTTTGAATGAACGGAAGAGACTAGTTTGAGAAGAAAATAAAGAGAATAAACAGTATGAAAGAAAATAGGATAGTAAAACATTCCAAAGGAGATACCGACGTTGAGCGTTATATTTCAAGGCAAAAAAAGAGCTCATCAATGAATAATCCTGCCATGAATACTGCTGAAAAAATCCGTGTTCCCCTATAAAAACTAACCTGTCAAACGATGGATCCACTTCTTTCTTGGATGAGGCATCAGAGTCAAGCATTTTGGAAATATCATAAGCCTTAAATAGGGACAACTTGTATTTATTTCTTAAATCAACCAGTCAAACCAATAAACCGCTACCTCATCAAGTCCTATTTCACTGTCGACATTCCACAAATCCATAGAATCACATAATTCATCCAGAATTGGAGAAGGTACCTTGAAAATGTGAATTCGAAACGACAACAACTCGAACAAGCAGACCTAAGACCCACATAGCCGGGGAAAATGCCATCTTCAGGAACGGGCGCTTGATCCGCAACTTCCTGTCCACGCGAAGCGTCTCCAAATGCCTCAAAATCTGCCGACCAACCTTCTATAACGAGATCTCGATAAATTATTGACGAACTCTCTCAGAAAACGATCTAGTTAGAAAGAAAACAGACCATTTTCACAGTCTTTAGCATTGTTGAATGCATTCCACTCCTCTGGTTCTACGTCTTGGGAGTTAGCACGGGAAGGCTACAAATTCATCAAGTGTAAGCAGAAATACAAAGCATTACTTGTGTGTTTCAGATAATGTTCAAAAAGTTAGTAAAATGTGGCATGCGGAATGAACATTAATGCCTGCAAATGAGCTTTTCGCGTTTTCAATCAAAAGGACATACCGATTGATGTACAGGCTGCCGAACTGGACTGCATCGATTCGGTTCACTGGAAACTTCAGGACTGCTCTCTTTTGAAGGCAGATCGTTAGACGACCCTAAACGAATAAAAAATTCTAAACACTACACAAATTTCACACATTTTTGACAAAGTCTTTGCTAACAACCCAAGAGCTGAAGCAAAATCGGGTAACGGAGAACAACAAAAGGGAGGAGAAGAAAGGGAGCTCTTCAATAGGTTACTTGAATGAAACGAAATCATCATGGCCCATTTAACTTTTTAAACACTGGGCAGTAAGTCAACAACCAATCCGAAGTCTCGTGCTCTTGTTGATCAATCGGAAATTATGAAAATCCGAAAGGGAAGACCTTGATCGCATTTATGACTCAGAACCGGTTTATGCGGAAACAAATGCTGTGATAATGATAAGCTCACTGCAACCACAATCAAATGAAAAATACTTGTCAACTGTCAACTAGCTTCGAAAAACTTCGGAATTTTTAGGCTTTCCAAGCCCCTCAAGTTTTCCTTTACGATCCTTTTTAAATCTGACGTACAACTGACAGCTTTCCGTATGATTCAGGATGGGCTAATTCGGAAATTCGCACAATCTTTGTGTTAACTTGGCACGTTAACGGCTGCTTTCAGATTTCAACGATTCTTTTTCGAAATTTCCAGAGATTCAATTGTATCAAATTTAAGGGTGATAGAAAATTTCTGAAAGAACCTAAAGAGTGATGTGAAAGGAAAGACATAAGTGTTAACCTAGTAAATTTGGAAATGCAAACTATTCATCGAAATCACAAAACCAGAAACACTCAATGATTGCATGCAAACCAAATAATATACTGTATGCTGCACAGAAAACTGTAATTCATTGAAATAAGCCATACCTGCTTCTTCTGCAAGAGAAATGTCAGCATCTATGCCGGCAAAGTCACCGAAATCGTCTTCGTCATCAATAGTATCACCTTTTGACCGATTTTCCTCCTTGTCAACGGGATCAGGACAAAAATCTGAAGCTGTTGACACATCCTCTAAAAAACGGAATTCTAAAAAATGAGTGCTTAGTGAATGCTATCCTTCACCAGCTGACGTACCTTCGTCATCCACGAGTCCATTCGTACAATGAACCGCGCCTTGATTAGCTGGTGCCTCGGAATGAGAATCTGATTTTGAATCTGGGGATTTCTGTTTAACTGGACAAGGGCTTGGGATAGGCGTGCACGCAGTACTGGAGGTACAGGGTAGATCGGTGGGAATTTCGAGTTCCCGTAAACTGTCATCCTCGTCGTCTACAGTCAACCGAGAATCACATTCTAGATCCGGAGGCTCCTCCAACGCTCCAGCAAGTGGTGGTGGAGCCTCGAAGTCCATCTAAATTGAAAAATACTTGAAGAGTATCCATGAGCAGATGAGCAACAATATCGTTCATTCTCGAACACAACAATCGATCAACTGTAAAGAAAATGACCACAAAAAAGGCCCACAAATTGATGGAAAAAAGAACTCAAACAGGAAACAATGAGTGAGAAGAAAGGACAGGCACTCGCAATTGAAGTAATGAAGTGAGAAAACGTTTTACATCGATCCTTTAAACATGTTTTTAAGCAGTTCTAGGTCAATACAAATGCAGTAACAATTACTGTAACTATAATTTAATATCCCTGATAGTCACTCATACAGCAAAATATTTCCCAGCACACAACTACTTCCAAATCAGTCAAAATGCAGCATAACAGAACTGGTACCATGTTTTATAAGGCTGAAGAAATTGTTTGGATAGCGATAGTTTTCCTAACAAATTCATAACGAACCCTCAATATCAGGTTTCTGAGGGAAGTGCAACTAATTTCTTTCAATTCTTTACACTGTTCTATTCGTGCAACTTTTGTTACGACATTTTCTTGACGATCAATTCTTTGTTATTATTGTTTACATCAAGGACGTTGAAGTTCTTAGGAAGAAGGGCTTCAGCAAATTCAAATAACCCTGTTGCTATAAGAAATCATGAAATTCTCCCACTCAGCAAGTCCCGCACTGACAAGGAAAGTATATAAAGTATGGAACAGCGGTTCAATGATGAATATTTCTATTTATAGCGCGGAGGACGGTATTAAAGAGAGCTCCGCTAACC